ACATACAGGGCATATACTTCTCACCCAGTTAAGATCTAGTACCTAATTCGAGTTTTCTTTTTCTTTATAATTTTATTATGTCCTGTTGGTTCAGCTCTGGCAGCACAGTGGCGCAGTGAGTAGTGCTGTCACCTAAGAAGGGCCTGGGTTGGTTCTATGGCCAGATGTCCAGGGTCCTTTCTGTGTGGAGTTTGCATGTTCTCCCCAGGTGGGTTTCCTGCCACAGTCCGAAGACATGTAGTTTGGCCAACTGGACATGCTAAATTGCCCCTAGGTGTGAATGTGTGGTTGATTATAAGCTGCACGTCTGTTACTAAGCAACCAACTATATATATGCACAGAATGTAAATATTAATCAAAATAACATACAAAAATGTATGTTTCAGTGAGCCAGACAGGCAACCACGGAGAAAAAAAAACAAAACACAAAACCAAAGTGTGATGAACCAGACATTTTAGTAACCTTCCGTGAGTATTAGGTAATCTTTTATAGCAGGGGGGTCGAGCTGCGGTCCTGTAGGGTCGGTGCCAGGGAGTTGTGACCAAAATGACCAAACTGTGCAGGACTCTTTACATCCTGATAACAATGAATAAATTTCTGACAATTAAACAAAAAAAGGCCACAGGACTGTAAAAACACCGTCCAATCATTTCATTTGGACTGCATGAAATGATTGGATGATCTACCTGTCTGTCTACCTACCTGTGTGGAGTCTGTCGGCTCTACACAGACACACACACACACACATAGAGCTAAAAGGTTCAAAACAATGGCAGAGAAAGTTATCCAGGTACTTACAACAGCCTGGTCTTGCATGAGTGGAAATAAGTGCCCGGTGGCATTGCCAAGATGGCTGTGGGAGTGAACAGACTTCCCTATAAGGACTTTGGTTAAACACATGAACAAAAGCTATGAGCAAAGGAATATTTTCAGGTTCAGGTTGTGCTAGGTTGTGAATGGAGATGTTGAGAGGCAAAAAGCACTCCAGAAGAAAGAACAAAAAAGGAAAGACAGAAGCAGAAAAGTCTTTGGACAAAAAGAGGTTGGATAAAGCAAAAGGTAAAACCAGAGTGAACATCAATGTGGCTCTCCAACAATGTCGAAAGCACAAGGCTGAAGTCAGCTCCTTATTCACCAGCTTCTCATCTGAATTTTCCCATTCCACCTTTACGGTGCAGCAATTTCATTCTGGCACCTCAAGTGTTGTAATAATAACAGCTGCACCATTTAAGGTTGAATGGGAAAATTCAAACAAGAAGCTGGCGAGTCTGTTTCAGCCTCATGGCAAGACCTGAGGGAGTTAAAAGGCCTGGAAACCGATGTCAAGCTTGCTATTTTAAAGGTTGAGGGAAAAGACCTAAACTGAGCTCATCTTTTCAGGACTTGTGGCACAGTTGTGAAGGTTGAGGGAAAAGACCTAAACTGGAAGACCATTCGTTACACAGGAGTTAGATCTATGAGCTTTCTGTGGAAGAGAAAATGTTTGTTTCAATTTCAAAATCAGTTAAATAAGACATGATTTACTTTCACAAACCATGTCTTTGGGATAGCATTCAGTTATTAACATATGTTTGATAATTATACATTTGGTTACAATTTTTGCCACTGTACTATATCACATAAGAAGAGGAAAGACAAAAGGAAAGAAAAGATATGCTGTTTTGGCTTTTTTTATCCTTTCCAAAGGCTTTGCAAGTACTAGTAACTTGATTTTTGTAAAAGAAATGCTAATATTTGGTTATGTTATTGAGACAATCATAATATAACTAAGATAACCAGTGTTTACGCCGTTGCCCCAGCACAAGGCAGAGTGCAACCACAGTGTGGCTTTTGATAACTACACTCGCCATTGCAAGCTTGCAAGCCAAAAACAACCTAGATCTACACGAGTGTTACAATGGGCATGCAGGATGAAAAGAATCACCATTCACTCAATCTCTATAATAAGCTAATAGGTTCAAAGTCTTATTGTAAACACTATCATGGGAATCTTTTTAGATATAGATTCTTTTATCAGATATGCATGAGAAATGTTTGGGTTATTGTGGTGCACATTGTTTATGCAAAAACCACAGAAACCCACAGAAACATCAGGGCTTCTATGCATATGTCCCTTACCTTCCTGTTTAATACTGGATGGTGATGTAGCTGTGTGCTGAGTTTTATAAATATGTATCAGCAACAATCATTAGCAATCAAAAAAAATCTTTAAGGGTCACAGATGGGGCATTTCAGACATTAGTTATGTCTTGGGGTCAGAATGTCTCCCAAACGATGATCAAGCACCACCTATATAACCACAAATTGTTTGGGGGGGTTGCTAGAAGAAAGCCACAAACTCAGGCACCTACAGTTCGTGAGACATTACTGATACGTTCAGTAGCAACATGTTATATGTTCTAGAAAAGACCAAAATAGAGCTTTGTGGCCACAAACACCAGAGATGGGTTTAGCTTATGCACAAAGATAGCCATGTAGAAAAGTACCTCATTCTCACTATGTTAGTGGATCTGTGATGTTATGGAGCTGTTTTTCTTCCAGTTTCTCTTGCCCTGGACAGCTTATTCAGATATGTAGTATCATCAAGTACTGGCAAAAATTAAATCAAAAGCTAACAGCCTTAGCCAGGAAGCTTAAACCAGTTAGAAAGGTTAGATTTTTCTTAATATTTTAAATAAAAGATCGGAAGGATAAGCAATAAAAAAATGTTTTTTAAAGCCCTTGTTGCTTGTGGATAGATTAAATTCATAACAAACAAACAAACAAACAAACAAATAAATAAATAAATAAATACAGGCAATTGTAGGCATCAGGAACTCAGTGAACACAGCAGAGTCATTCACCAAAATATTGCGTGTTTGGACAGATATAAACTCAAGTAGGTGTGCCTGTCTTGTACAAGCGTGCCATGACCTGGACCTACACATACCTAATAGACCTTGGGGCTGTACTGGAAAACAAAATGTGACAAAGCAATCAATAACACAACAATCACATTAATGTGGAAGGATGTGGATTGAATTTATCAGCATAAAACATTGTTATGTAATACCTGTATTAGGTTCTACATGCCACTACAATAAAAACATCTCCTTTCTCCTTTTTTTGCGTAGTAGTTCTGAATATTTCAAATAAATTTTTTACTTCTTCATCTTCAACATAAGTGTATTCAAGCGGTAGTGCTACTAATGTAACCAATGAGACGGGTGTAGCATAACCATGGAAACTGGTGAAGAGTAACTGTGAAAATGGATGTAGCATAACCACAGAAAATGTAGTGTAACCATGGAAATGTATATGAAAAAAAAGTGAAGTTTTACCATTGAAAGAAGTGTAGCATAATCATAGAAAATTGGCAAAGCCTAACCATGGCATTAGGTGTAGCATAATTGTGGTAATAGATGTACCATTAACATGCAAATGGGTGTGGCCTAACCATGGAAATGGGTTTAGCATAACTATGCAAATAGGTCTAGTGAGTCATGGAGGTATACTGTAAACATGGTATGATGAAGCATAACCATGGAAAATGTTGTAGCATAGCCCTGGCAATGGATGTAGCAAAACCATGGTAATGGGTGTAGCATCACTATGGAAATTGGTGTGGTAAAACCATAGAAATGGGTGTGACATATTTACAGAAATTGATGGAAATGGATGTTGCCCATCTATGGAAATTGGCATAGTTTAATCACGGAAATGAGTGTAATTTGACAGTGGAAATGAGTGTAGTGTTGCCATTGAAATGGTTGTTGCCTAATCAAGAAAACTATAGTGTAGCCCATTGATCCATATGTCTTGTGGTGTAGTTCTATTTCAGATAGATTTTGTTGGAAATATGAAAGGATATAGTATAACTATGGAAATTAAAGTACCGCTTCCGTGGAAATAGTGTAGTGTATCTATGGAAATAAGTGTTGTGTAGCCAAGGGGATGGGTATAGTCTTCATTACCTTTAGTTAGGGAACATAATTGTACAATATTGTATTGCAATCATGTATTTTTTAGGTTTTACTGATTTCACACATGCCTTTTATTTTTATTGTTCTGTTTTAAAACATTAGGTTATGAAAAGGTACAAATATGTACTTTAACTCTGGGTAAATCCTATTTAAGGTACACAGTTAACTTAAACTTGAACTTAAAGCCATTGTTGTACCTTTGAAGGTACACTTACACTGTTTGTATCTTGATGAACATAAAAATTGGACCTGCACAGAATCTTTATTTCTGACAATGTTGGTGTAATGTAACCATGGCAAATCTTCGTGGTATAACCACAAAAATCTCCATAGTATAACCACTGAAATGGGTTTAGCATAACCATGGAAATATATCTTGGTTGTAGTGCTGTTTCAGGTGGATTTTTATCCGTCAGCCCATGCTTATACTTTCTATTTCTACAGTCTGGATAATGATAGTTGTGCATTAAGTGGACCTGTACTATTTTGAGATTTCCCCCCACAATCCCTATTAACTTTGAAAGTGAAGGGTGTGAGACAAAAATAGATTTTGATACATAGGGTGGAAGCTATGCCAATGTATAATTCTAAGAAAACTGACCACAATAAGAGACAGTAGTTAAATTCATTGCTCCAGGCAGATGCTCCAGTTTTATACTGGCCTCAATTCAGCTTTTCTTGCTCAAATTAAAAAAAAACCCAAAAAACTCAGGTCTCAGATCAAAGTGAAAGCGCATGATCCATACTGTACAGAAAAAGAGGTGAGAAGCTCTCTTCTAGTTTAGACTGTTAGTTAGATTTCATTGTCATTGTCAGTTGAAAAAGCAGCACCAAAAAAAAGCAGTTAGCTGGAAAAAGTCAATTTATGTACATTACTCTGCCAAACTGGTTTTATTGGTTAATGGTGTGAGAAAAGCCATTAGGCTTCCTGACAGAATTTAGTAAAGTGTACTTCCCCCTTTACTTTTTTCTAATAGAGGAAGAATGCAGTGTCGTAATAGGGGGGGACATTGCTGCAAGTTTGTGTTTGTGACAGTCTGGTTTCTCAGCAGCGAGGTGTCAAGGTAGGCGGCTCTCACTCCGCTACTTTATCAATCTTGCAGCGCTTTGCTTTCAATAGATTAAAAAAGCTTGTCTCATAGGTGCTTAAAGTGAATATAATTCTTCATTTCTCTGTGTTAGTCATTCATTTATCAAGCGTGCCTGCTGAGATTTTTTTTTTTTTCTTAAATTTATGTGGTGTATGATACCTTTTCACCTATAACGTAGGCTTTTCAGGACATGTAATGCTTTAGGCAGTTTTCTTAGAAAGGTGTTACTTAATAGTAGACTGTGTGTTGATGTCTGCTGTAGTATTTTTGCTTTCAAGCCTCTCTTTGACTTTGAAACAAAAAGGAGTTTTCAATCCACTTTTTATTAAAGTTTAAACTGATATACTTTAAAAATAAGGTAAATACTCAAATTAACTCAAAAAAGGTAATCAAATGACTATAACTTTGGTAGAGCTTGTGCTTAGGCACATCTTTTTTTTAATGCTTTAATAACCACACTTTAAAAAGTAGTTTCATTTCCTTTTGGTTCCATATGCTATCTGAGCTCACCTGACCACAAATCAAATTTTTTAAATCTGTCAAACAATATGGCTAAAATGAGGGGTTTTATCACTTAAATTAACACATTAGTTTTTTAGTCACATGGGACTACTGATTTTTAACAAAACAATAGGAGATCCAACTTTGACTGTAAATAAATATATGAAACTTACATGTAATTGAAATACATTTCTAATGGATACTGTTAGATGTTCATTTAAATGTATAACTTTACAAAATGACATCACTTGAGACCGATCAGAACAAGTTCTTCAGGATTTTTCCTGCCACAGGAATTTTGCTGTTGGACATGAATGGATTAGTTTACATGTTGCAGTAATCACAAGGAAGAAAAACAAAAACTAACTTGCAGAGTAACAAATTGAGACTTGTCAGTGTTTCAAACCAAAACTTTACTGTAAATATCACTTTCTGTACTCCAGTGACTCCTCCCTGTTTCTCAGGCTGCTTATCGCGTATTCTTGCATACGTCCAGCAGAGGGCAGAGGTCAGCAGAAACTGCCAAGAAAGTTTCTTCCAGCTTTAAAGCTGAAGTGGGGCACTATATGTCCAAAAGAATCCAGACAACACTTCTGATTAACGAATTCAGCTACTTTAAGGTGCACCTGTTTCTGAAACAGGTGTTGAATTGCACACACACACACACGTCGTAATTTCTACTGAACAGCAGCACATGGGCCTAAGACCACCATGTCCATTGTTAAGTATTGGCTAAAGGGGTTTAGAGCCTCCCACCATTGGGCTGTTGAGCAGTGGAGCTGTGTTTTTTGTATTAGAAGCTCCATCCAATACCTATGGGATGAATTGGAGTGGCGTTTGTGATGTAGAACTAATGATCCAACATCAGAACCTCACTAATGCTCTTGTATCTGAATGCAATCAAACCCTCACAGCAATGTTCCAGCATCTAGAGTAAAGCCAGAAGAATAATGGCTATTATTACAGTTATGGTGGACAAGCGCCCTATTAATCCCCCTGATTTCACATAAAATGCTGGATGATCAGGTTTTGGACATATATTCATGTTTGCTCATTATTGTGACAAGCCACATTATGTGCCATTTGCCTAATATACATAATGTGTGTTTGCACTTTGATCAAAATCTAAAAGATGCCCATCTTGTTGTGTTATCAGTTGCGATTTTGTGTTTCAGGTGGGGTGTAATATGAAAGGATAATGAACTAAAATGTAGATTTATCCACCAGAAAACTGGCAACAATGGCAACAGAGCAAAATGAAGTGACAACTGCACTGACTGACCATGGAGCCCTGACAACCACAGGTAATGTGCCAAGCCTTCAAATCTTCAAATCAGTGATGAATTTATGATCAGAGGTTTGCGATTTTTAGTTTTGTTATAACATATATATTTTTATAATGTTACAAGATTGTTCAAATCTGATCTTGTGGAATTGTTATCTTATGAATAATGCTTAAAACAAAGCTTAAAGCAACATGTATTGACCAGATTAAAAGGCGAATTGTTAAGATGGACACAAAGGTATTCAGAGTGGATTGATGTGAAGGGCTCTATTTAAAAGAAAAATGAGTCAGAATTGTTCACAGTGGTGTTGATAGGAACCAGATGTCTGAAGCATGTAATTCCATTAAAAGCAACACTCTCAGAAATAAAGGTAAGAAACTGTCACTGGGGTGGTACCCTCAAGGGTACATCTCAGTACCTTTAGTCAGGGAACATAATTGTACCATAATCCATTGAAATTATACTTTCTACGTTGTATTGACTCCAAACATCCTGTCTCATGTTCAGGCTTTTTATTTTATTGTTCTGTTTTAAAACATTAGGTTATGAAAAGCAACAAATATGTACTTTTCCACTGGGAAAAACCTATTTAAGGTACACAATTGGACCTTAAAATCACTGTGGTACCTTTGAGGGTACATTTACCTTGTTTGTACCTTGATGAACGAAAAATGTACCTGAACAGAACCTTTATTTCTAACAATGTGCCTCACAGAAATGTGTTGTACTAAATGATTAAGTCCCTGATTTCTGAGATATTGTTTTACACTAGTATTATGTTAAATGTGTTTTTCATTATATATCAGCTATCTATACAGCATTTTGAAATGCAACTCTACATATATGTTTAATCTGGAGACGGTGGAGATGTATATGCAGGGTGTTGTAAGGAAAGCTAGTACCCAAGTTGGTACTCTGAGTTGGTAAGGTTCTCTGCAGCGCACCATTTCACATCAAACCAATCTGAAAGATTTTGTTTATATGTTGACAACAGAATTATGCAGTAATCTTGAAAATAGGTGGAATTCCCCATCACTAGCCAATTTTTTTGCAATCTTTTGCATTGAAATGCTTATCAGTATAGCCCATCAAAACCACTCACCCATAGCTCAAGCGATATTAGTTTTATGTAAACTAGCTCTTATATGCATTTCTATAATGAAATATGTTGGCATTTGTTTTCCCACAGACTGCTGCACCTGCTTAGAAGATAATAAGGCATAATAAATGTCTATACATTTTTACTGTTAATATTTACTTTTCTGTTTAAACCTAATGATACCACAATCAATTAAAATCAGGATTTCAAAAGCTTGGCAGTAAGGATAAGCAGTCCAGTTTACTGGAAGTCACCCTGTAGACATGGTTAATCTCAGGATCAGGATCAGAAATTATTGCATCGTACAGTAAACAGGCCCAAATGTGAGGACTTGAGTGTTTTTATACCACAGTATTGCAAATTAAAGAAAAAATGTGGGCAAAAAGCTGGCATTTGACCAATATCAAACTCTTGTGTCATCTTTTGAAAACAATCTATTTTTCTATCACTGAATAGATAACCGTTAGCTGCAGCTTAGAATAAAATGTCCATTATTTTTACTTCTTGTTAGAATTAACTACTATCGCACTCGTTGTTCCAAAGCCAATATGTTTTGTCCTGTGCACATTTTTCTCCCAAATGTTACTGGATCCTCTGAATTACGATTAAATTAAAGAGTCATCAGTCATTAAAGAGCCCATTGCATCCACTGGAATGACACCATATGAAAGTGTGGCTACTGTACTTTAATATTATTATACAATAACATCACATCTCAAACTGTAGGCTTCTACAGCCAGAGCAACTGAGGTTGCCAGTCTTATGATGTCAATTCAGTCTGTAGAATCGCAAGCTTACATGCAGCTTTTTGCATTTTGGCTTTTTAATGACCTCGTAATTCAGAGGATCCAGTCATGTTTGGAGGAAAAATTAATGTTGGCTTTGATTGGCTTTGGAATTTTTTGTTTGTCTAGAAAAAGTTTTTCAGTTTTTGAGAACGCCCTTCAATTTTCCTAAAGAGAACCATGGCTTAGACCCGTATGTATGGGCATGCTGCTGAGCACAGAGTGACTACAGAAGTCTGTGATTAAGCATGTTTGCTCATATAAGAAATTTCTCTTCAGTTGCGCAATAGCTCACAACAGAAATGTCTATTTCTACTGTGTTTGAAAGGTGTTTCACAGTTTATCTCAATAAAAATGTGTCTGTGTTGATGAAGGTGGCAACAAATGTGAGAACCTGTCATGTTACCTGGTGCTGAGCGAAACAGAGAAGCATATTATCAAATGGATCTGCTGCATTACTGGACCTGCCACTTTCCTAGAGAACATCCTGGTGCTGGTGGTCATTGGTGCTTCAGCTAGATTACGCAAGCGGCCCTCGTACCTCTTCATTGGAAGCTTAGCGGTGGCTGATGTCTTGGCTAGCTCCTTCTTCCCCATTTTCTTCTTGGAATTCCACCTTTTAGGTCACATAGACAATTCTAATATATACTTATTCAAGCTAGGAGGTGTCACCATGGCCTTCACTGGCTCTGTTGGTAGCCTGCTGCTAACTTCAATGGACCGCTACCTTTGCATCTACAAGGCTCCGCGCTACAAACTTCTGTTGACACGTCGTAGAGCCTTGTTTGGGATAGTGGCCTTATGGACTGTGACTATTGTGATCTCTTTCCTCCCTCCGATTGGATGGAGATGCCAAGACAACCCTCCATGTTCTCAGCTCTTCCCATACGTTGACCCACACTATATGAGCTGCTGGGCAGGCCTTATGCTGGTGGTGCTTGTCCTCATTTTGGTAGCATATGCGCTAATCTTGTGGAAGGCCCACCATCATGAAGCAGTCATGGAAGCTCGAACACCAGGGCGTTCAACAATGGGACAGCGCGACAGAATGCGTGTGGATATCCGTCTGGCACGCACTTTGGGCCTGATCCTCCTGATCCTAGTACTTTGCTGGGTCCCTAGCCTCACCATCATGGTGGTCGACGTCTCACGGAAGCTAACTCGCAAGGAGCAGAGGGTCTTCGCCTTCTGCGGAACTCTGTGCTTGGTAAACTCAGCCGTAAACCCACTGTTGTATGCCCTCCGCTGCCGTGAGCTGAGACGGGCACTCCTAAACCTGCTGAGGCGTGTATGCAGGGTGTGTACCTGGGGCACTGGAATGTGTGCTTCTGGACAAAAGAAAGACAATGATACTGGACACGCTGAAAATAAGGACAAAGATACTATTTCTGAATCCCTAGACAGACAACATCTGGATTAGCTGGACATTATATTAGGTGTTGTGAGTGTAAATATTTCCTAGTAAATATTGATAAAAAGTTCAAAGTTACTACATAAGAGATTCTGACTGATTAGTTGGCAGTCATGGTTGGTGTTTACAGTAGCTTTGTATAATATGTGCAGAAAAACTAACAATGTGCATGAATGGGTGTTATATACTGTATTATATACTTCTATACTGTACCAAGCAAAAGCCAGAAAATGCCCTTCATTTATTTAATGTCTAGTCAAAATGACCATTAAGTATTACTAATTTTTCAGTGTCAAAAAAGAAAGAAAGAAAGAAAAAAAACAGAACAGAAAACAACAGAATATTGCACAGAAGCCTCAACAACCAAATATAGTATGATGTTTTTCAGTATTTAGTGTGTTCACTGTTTGCACCACTTTCATTCTTTTCAGGATACTTGTTTTATAAAGAAATCTGCAGGAATATTTTTCCACATTTCCAAAGATCAGTTTTAGAAGTTGGTGCATTTTCTGTGTTGCATGTTCCAAGTAATCCAAAACACATTCAGTGATGAGGTCTTCATCATCATCATCATCATCATCATCATCATCATCATCTTCTCCATATAATGAGAATCAGTCAGGGCCAGTTTAGGGGGAGCACACCCATTTAACATTCACTCCTTTATAATCACACCAAAGGCATAGGCTGTTGGCATAAACAAAATAGCAAAGTGAAACACAATATAAATAAACTGAATTAAGACTCAACTTTCTGTACCACATAGACCCAAGCTGACATTCTTTTTTTTTTTGGTTTTTGACTTTGGAAGAGGGTAGAAAAGACATCCTTTGTCAAAAACATGGTCTGTATTTGTGAAAATTTTATTATATGTTGCATTGGAAAATCAGGGCATTACGGTCTATGTTTGCACCCAAACTGGCTATAATAGTATGTACAATATGTGTTTGCTGAAATACATCAGAAAATGCACAAAAAGCTATTTTATTATTTTCTATGGCATATACTGTATCAACATTTGCTGGCAAATACTGTATAGTGTTATATACTCTCATTATTAAAGCTTTTATTGTATACTGGGTTATACTGTATATGCTTTCCAAATAAGGTGATTTGTTGCTAAATAATACTTACAGAACATCAGAACAGGTTGCTGTGTTACCTTGGGGTCTATCTCACAAACGCTGTCAGATTAATACAGAATTCCTAAGTTTCAGCTTCACAAAACCTAACAGATGCAAAAGGTAGTCTCTGTCAACCCAATTGTAGACATTCAACCTATGATTAATCCTTGTGCGCATGAAAGCATGCCATTTTTGATTAACACACAATTGCATTAAACAGAAGCAGTAAAGCTAGAAAAAAATCATACTAAGCAGATCTGAATCATCATGTTACAGACCCCTTTGCACAAATGTTTTGTGGGCCTCTACCTGGCTACCTTTTTTTTTTTTGATGTCTATGTAAAAAACACCATGCATCACAAAAAGACGTTAATGGCATCATTAATACTGTTCTTTTGTCCATTTCGTCAAGAAGGAACCACGGCCTGCTGTGGTTGCACAAACACAATAGCAAGTTGCCAGACAGCATATTTTCCAAACCCACCATGTTCCGCTATGGCATCATCCTATATATAGTTGTACAAAACAAAACAATAGCAAGAGTATATATACATGGTTACAGGTTAACATAAATACAAACATCAATTTTTTCCCCAATCCCCCCAATTTAGTCATGCCGAATTCCACCCACCAGCTAGGTCCACCAATCACCTAGCACTAGGATGGTGAAGGCTAGCACATGCTTCCTCCAAGTCATGTGAAGTGCAATCACATCTTTTTGAACTGCCACTAACACAGCATCATTGGACATTTCAACGCGTTTGCAGAAGAACGCTAACTGCTAACTGCCTGCATCATGGTTGGTAATGGGGGGAGAGCGAGGCCAGTTGTGCTTTCTTAAACTCCTGTAGCAATTCTTTTTTTTTACTTGTGCTTGGCTTTGAAAAGGGGCATTCTCTACTCCGTAGGGTATAGGGTCTCATGGATCCCCCAAGCACACCTTTATCATATCTTAAATTTAAATTATGTTCACAGGAATGCTGGCACACTGGGAAAAAATGGAAAAAAGGGAAAAGCTTGACTGAGGTAATGGTGGATAGTGGAACAGTTGCTGAGCAGAAGCTGAAGTACAGTAAAGCAGAGATTTTCTAGAGTCAGCTAAAGGGTCTCTAAATAAAATACTCATTACAAGTTAAAGCAGTTATTTTGTTAATTTTGTCATAATTGCTCGTGGGGGCCCCTTAGTGAATCTGACGAAGCTCACAAGGGGCTATGTAGTTATTCAAATCAAGTGAGTTAGATTAAGGAAAACACTGAAATGTGCAGAGCTTAATGTTCCCAGCACTGTTAAATTCCCTATATATTTTTGTATATGTATGATATGTCTACTGGACCCCAGGAAGAGTAGTGGCAAACACAATAGCAGCTAATGGGGATCCTAAAAATAAACAAAAAATAAACACAAAAATAAACAAAAAATATATTTTGCTTTCATTTGTAATTTTGTATTATTCTGCATTAATTTTGAGTTATAATATCATTTATAACCTGAAGACATGGACGAGTATGAAACAGAACAGTAGAAAAACTGGATAACTTTAATTGGCTCCAAAGAACTGATATCTAGTTTATCTATCATTGGCATTAATATTCATGGGATTTTGGTAATACCTTCTGCCCCTGTCTGCAATCTCGAAGTTATCTTTGACCCTACACTCTCCTTTGACAATCATATGAATTCAATGATAAGAAAGCATTTTTCCATCTCCATAATATTGCTCATCTCTGACCATACCTCAGCCTAGCAGATGTAGAAACACTTTTGCATGCATTTGTGACTACTGTAATGTTCTCCTATCTGCCCCCCCCCCTCAGCAGCCACTGCAACGATCCTCACCTATTAGATGAAGACTGAACATATCACTCCAACCTTCAGAGACTTCACTGGTTATCTGAACATTCCATGTTCAGTAAAAGGTTCTTAATACATATAAAGCTCTGAACAACTTGGATTGTAGTTGAGCTTCTTCATTTATATGTCCCATCCCATACCGTTTGATCATGTGATTTAGGCCTAATTTATGTTCTAAAGTTTACATTATGGGTGGTTGATCATTTACTGTAGTAGTTCCCTAGTTTTGGAATACTCTCCCTAAGTTTATTTGGGTTGCCTCCTCTCCACCTTCAATTAAATCTCTGTTAAAGACATAGTCGTTTTCACTATGTTATTTGTTCCTGTCAGACTTAAATGCAATGGATTTTGTTAACAAATATGTACCTCACTGTTTAATGTATTCATAATTTTTGATTGTCCTTGAGCATGGTAAGGGTGCTACATAAAATAAAACTGATAGAGGTGATGATGAATTGCCAGTAAATAGAAGCTGACATAAATGCACACCTACTAGCTTGGTCACATACCTGAGTGGTTGTATGCCCCCCAGTGGGTGTAACTCCAGTGTTGCCCAGATTACCAAGGAAAACCAAGGGTTGGGGTGGGGGTTGATTGAAGTTCCATCTACTGCATGCCCATATCCATATCCGTAGTAGAGTTTCATTCTTTTTAAACTGACTGATGTCATAATGTTGCTGTGATAAAGTAACGGTTATAATGCAAATATAAACATGACTGCATTCAAACAATCTAGACTGCTGTGTGTCTTAATGTGGGGAAAGCCTAGGATTTATGCATGAAAAACAAACAGGCTCTGTGAGAGGTAAACGCTGGTTAAGAGCTTAATGCATCATGGACGTAGTTGATGAGAGGAAAGGTGAGCAATATTAGCGAATGTATAACATATAATCTCTCAGGGAAAACTATAAATTGTAAGAAAGCGTGCTGTAATCCTTGCGCTATGATTAACACATTGAAGAATAAGGCTTCCCCCTCTGTGGGCTACATGGTACAGTCTGGCATGGTGACGTTTTGCCGTTTTGACTCGAGATTGGCAGTTGGAAAATACAAACCGGTGCGAGTAGGAGGGGGAGGTTAAGTGTGAGCTAATAAAGAAAGCATACGGAGAGAAAGGGGGTAAAAGAACGGGGTTTTGGTTATTTTATCGAAGGCTTGGGCAATTTTAAGAGCCCCGATTTGGTTGTCGTTTTTATCCGCTCAGTAATCATGGCCTGTGGAGCTACGTTAAAACGATCCATGGAGTTTGAGGCCCTCCTCAGCCCTCAGTCTCCAAAGCGTAGAAGGTGCAACCCGCTACCGGGGAGTCCGGCCGCTCCGTCCCCGCAGAGATGCAGCCTTCGACCGCCTACAGAGACTCCACCGAATCCCGCGTCCCCTCAGTCCGTGGGAGGAGAGCACAGGTTAACTCCAGGTAAGAAACAACACGGTTATTGTTCTTTTCGTGTAAAGACCAAGGTTTGTAATAGGAGGCCGGGGCAGCTAACCGGTGATGCTAACATCTTCTCGTCCTCCGTTTTCTGAGGTTTGGTCACAATGGAGTGCAAATTTAGATAGTGTTATGTGATAACACCCTGTAAGTCAGCTCCATGGTTTTTAATAAACTATTTTTTGAAATATTCGTTTATTTCATCGTGTTTGTTAGAATTTGAGTACAAACGTGCAGAGGAAACGTTCCTAAATCATAGTCTGATGGGACCATGGCTAGTGGGAAAGGGGCTCCACTAAAGGGACTCCATTTTAGAGAAAAACGGATTTATTACAGAAAACGATGAAGTCATTTGAACCTTAAGGTGTTAGTCATGTTGCTCAGTAGTAGTATTAACATATACGTTCTATGCAGGTTAACGACTGGTAAATATTTTATTGTTCAGCGTCTAAACGGAAAATGTTGGATGAAAGTTGTTAGTAAATGGGTTCCGTTAGCCGTGTTCTCGTTGAGTGCTAAGCTAGGCCAGATTTGTCAACGAACCCCTTTCATTTTCTGGACATTTTTGTCATTGACAGCCTAATTTAAGTTGTTTTGTCGATGGCAAATATAACCTACCGTGTTGGTGATGTTATTAACTATTTTTGAGCTCTGTTTGTGGCCATTTTTAAATCGACGTGCGGGTTCATATCAATTAGCTAAACAAGCTAACGTAAGCTAAGCTAACTGTTGTTAGCCTTGTTCCGAATGAGTGGCATTTAAAACGGTGAGGAAAAACAAACACAGTTAAGGTAGTCCTAAACACTAAAAGCGCCAGGAAAAGTAAGAAGTAAAACTTGCTAAAAAGTTTAAACTCCAGAAATGTAATAAAGCTAACAAGAAATGCGAAAGGCGAGAGAAATAAATAAATAAAAACAATGCTAGCAAGCTATTGCCAGCTCTATATCAGCTAGCTAGCTAGCTAACTCATTAGTTAACGCTGCCGAGTCGTTGAATTAACCGAGATTTGTGAAGCTTCGATCTTCTTTGTGCACTTTAAGAACAAAATGCAAATACAGGAAGGTATCACCACTTTATCCTGATCGATAGTGTTTCTACCCATTGATCCTCATGACGGCTGTTTTTGGTTCCTTTTTGTGTTGGGTTATTCGTTATAGATTAAACCAGACAAATGGTCTCTAACCGGCAAAGGCAGGGTGGGCTGTTGGATTGCAATTTTATAATCTGTTGTCATCTTGCTGGAAAACAGACATTTAATGTTAGCGACATTTAGCGAATCCTTTTGAAGGCTGTGTTGTAATTCCATTATGTAAGTAGGAAAAAATCGCAAAGTGTTATCTTTTGTATGTAGACTATGCAGTGGTCAGTGTTCTCTCCATAGATCTGTGTTTCTTTGTCCTGTTTGTGGCTGTGTTTCTAGAGATAGCTAGAGAGATTGTGTTGCACAGAAATGCAGCTACCCCACCCGTTTGGGAAGCCCTGGCCTGTGGCTTAGGGACCAGTGGATCAATACAGATGATCACATGTTCTCACTAAGGCCTGTTGGAGCTGTTTGACTGCTACCTATTGATTTATACCTAAATCCCTTCATAACCTTTTAAAGCACTGTTATCCACTTCTACGAGGCATTGGTTGCTCTCATGTTATAATGAGCTTAGTTTTTTTCCATCCTTGCTTATAATGAAATGTGTAGTTTGACATGGTTGTGGAAGTGGGAATGTAGTAAATACTTGTCCTTTTGTAATCGGCTGGTTAAGAAAAGTAATCGGTGTGTGTTTGTTTGCTTTGAGCAGCACAGGAAATGTTCTCTATTGCAGCTTTATTTCCTCCTTAATTTGTTAAATGCATAATGGTCATAATGCATATCCATTTATTTTTTTTTATTTTAATATAAATCCCATTTCCATTGGTTTCAACCTGCTTAGTTTTGGCGTATAATGAATAGTTATGAGCCCCACAGCTTTACTGCATTGATGCCTTCCTGACATGACAATCACATGTTATTAGAGTATCATAGCTGCAACTAATGATTAATCAATAGTTTTATCAGCTCTAGAAATAATGTACTAATTGATCCTGGTACCTTATGTGGTTTTCTCTCCCTTTGGTCTGTCACAATGCCAACAGCATTCAAAATGCTGTCTGCGTGTCAAGTGATTCCTTCTTATGGCTTCCATTGTTGGGTTGCACCATATCACCCCTACACTTCCTGTAGTGTATTGCAATCGGTTGGACTTCATTTACTTTGAAGTAAACACATCTTTTTTCCATAATGTTGTCTTTTGTTTGTTGCAGCCTCACTTGACACAATAGATAATCTGCTATGGGCCCACTGATCGACTGTGTTCTTGTTTAACTATGTACTGTAGCACTGGAATGGAGTGTCTCTCCATTACCTTTTTTATGCCTTTGGTCTGGGAATGTAGAGGTTGGCCTAATGCAGCTTCCGGTCTCAGCTTGGTTACCATGTTTTAGATACAGATATATAATGACTTTTTAAGCTTCTCATGCTGCGCTTGTTGACTTGCTTCTAAGATTTTATATTAATACTTAAATTCATAAAGGTAATGCTATGCTTAGCACATGGTTGGATGACTGTATTTACATTGAATGTGACGGGTCATTGTTTATGCACCATGTTGCTAATGCTAAATCCTGGTGGTGTTCAGCATTTTCATATGGGCTGTGACCATACCTCTCTGCAGCTAAATAATCAAAATGCTTGCTCCAGTGCTCGGTTAGTAATGAGATTTGATTGAATGTGTGAACATTGGTCATAGGTGGGCGAGAAAACTACTGTGTTCAAAACTAGTTGCACAGTATATTGGAACCTGATTGTTTGCTGACTAGTGGGTCAATTTATTTAGTGCTATCTTGAAATTTCAGTCAAGGATTTTAACTGATAACTTGCTAGCGTGCTGCAGGTTGCTGCAGAGTAACAGTGCCAGCCATGTGAAGGTTTACCAGTCTACAGCGTAGAAGGCAAAGGTGTTACCCACTACACTATACCAACCACTCATCAGCAAAGTTATGATTCTAAGTTAACGAGTTATGATTCTGTGAAGAAAATGACACCCAGCCCAGTTTATCTAGAACAGAGGATAAAGTTCCAGATTTCACTACATCCTCCCTGCAGTTTAGGTCTGTCGCCCAGATTAAATCGCCATAGATTACTTTAACCACAAACCCAGGCAAAAGGCTTTGGTAGTCAAAAGCAGTTCATGCTGGTCATAGAAATCTTTCTGAAGATATTGTTGATCATGGTCTGGAAAGAGGACATGATGGGTTGTGGTCATTAAGCCTATTTTTGCAGGTTTGGTGAGTTTGGTTTAGAATTGCGCTAGCAAAAAAATGTTTTAAATATCTTCAGGTTTCATTAACTTTTGGTCATCTGTTAAATATGCAGTCTTTTGCTGTATAAATTGAGTTATTTTTTGGGCAATAATAGATCACTAGCATGTAACTGAAGTGGAATATTAGCAGTTATTTTAGATGGATCAAACAATATCCATATTACTCACTTTTGACCATATCCCTTTGTTGTGGTAGGGTTGTGGTAGAGCACTGGGATGTGAATGTGTAGTGATCAATATATAATCTAACCAGTAATCAGCATAGTGAGTCAGTCTGAATTACAGTGAATATTTGAAGTGGTTAAATATTCTAATCTATTCCTGATAACTTGTCATTTTTTCTGTTCTGCACCTTCTTTTCTCTTGGATGGTTTGCTGAAAGTAGTGTTGCTACTCTACACACTTTGTAGTATACCAGCTTGGTAAAAGGTTGGTACAAGGACGTGTTGTGTATGCATAGTACATTGTCAAATGTTTTTTTGTTTTTTTAAATTAAATAAAAAGTTGCCATTTTAATTCTCTGAATGTTTTGTGATGTTCATGAAATAGAAATGGCCCAAAATCACTTGGAATAAAACCTTGTTACATTAACATTGACTATCTGAAGAGTCTTGGGTTCATGCTGCTCAAGTTTTGTGATGCATTTTTTCATTTTTATTCTTGAATCTACAGAGCAGATCTTCCAAAATATCCGGCAGGAGTACAGCCGCTACCAAAGGCGGCGGCAATTGGAGGGGGCCTTCAACCAGACGGAGGCGTGTGGCACTGCTGAGGGTTCTAGTCCCTGCCCCGTTATCTCTTCCCCCAGCTCACCCTCAGGTCAGTGTTTCCATAACTGTCAATAATCTTAATAGTACCACCTATTAATGCATTGACCTTTTCTGGTCAAACCTTTTGAAAACACTCTGAAAATAGAAAACCCACTTGATGGGACAGTGTTCACTTTCCTACATCTCCACACCTGTGTGTGCAAGACTGTTGAAAGAAGTTTTGCACTTTACCACCTCAACTGATTATGTTCAGAAATTGCACAAATAAGTATCAGTTGATGCAAAGTAACTGTGTCTAACCAGTCACAAGTGCTCCACTTACTTAAGTGTTATATTCTGGTAAAAGCTCTATTCTGGGTCTTAAATAAACATGCAATTTTATTCATATGTAGATATAAAAAATCTTAGATAATTATTTTTGTTTTCACTTTAAGTAATTGGTTGTAGGAACCATGTTTAACAACTGAAGTACACTTGATATTTTTATTGTGCAAAATCATGTGTCTGTGTAAGCATGCAGCAGCTTCACTGGATCAGAAAGTCATTTGACTTCTACGTGCGTCCCACTATTTTGGGCTTACGTATGTGAAGTTTAGTACATATTTCAGGCATTCACGCTGTCAGTACCAGCCGCTCTGGTTTTGTTTTCAGCTTGTTTAAGCGTCAGGTTGCGAGACCCCAGGGCTAGTGGACACAGTAGTCAGCTAGCAAGCTGCTGTGTTAAACCAAGCCTAAAGGCTGTCATTATCCCCAAGAGACCAGTGGTTCCTGCCATATATCTCTCTAATGTTCACTCTCTCAATAACAACCTGGACTACCATTAACTAACTACACTGTGGGAGATTAGAGATGACTGAAAGAGCCGTTCAGGTAAAGGGCTCCAGTTAGTGTTTGTTGTAGCTACAGTTTATATGTTTTTAGATGGCTTAGTTGTTGCATACCAGAGAAACAAATACCTTAGGAAGGATTCCAGTGAGTATATCACTGCTATTATATCTCCATGAAATAATACCATTACAAATTTTGCCATAAACATTTTTACTGCTGCTTGTCAACTTGCACCACTTGTGTTAAGTTCTGCATTGCCGATACTGAAGCTGCATTTAAGTGCCGGTATCTGCATGAAGCAACCCTAGCAAATTTCATAAACATCCATAAGACTAAACAAGGGTAATACAGTTAAATGGTCTTTGGAAAACACTTATAGTAAAATAGGGCTGGGCGAGGCATTGGAAAGCAGGAGAGCGCTGTCTTTCCAGGCTAGCTGTTTTTAGCAGCTGGTTAACTTGAAGCAGCGCTCCGTCACTCACACAACACGGCGAACTGATGATACTGTGCATCAAACAGGACACAAAAGCACCGCTTTCAGTTTAAACATACCTGAAAGGACGACTTGGTTTATCTGGTGTTAGAATAGAGAAACCCAGTCGTCTGCTAGCTGGTGTTTGAATACTGTGATGTGCTCTGACATGGATGTGGCAGGAGCGCCTGCAGTAAGGCGGTGTGATCCATCACTGACGTACCGAGTCAGCTAATGTTCACTGTTCGTACTAAACTGACGTTGAGAAACTAAACAGCCTTCAAACTTGAAAGAAATAATAATTTGACATTTATCGTGATGTGTCGATATCGAACGATATAAATTTTTGTTCATCGTGATAACATTTTTGGCCATATCGCCCAGCTCTACAGTAAAATGCAGTACAGCGAAACATAAATGTAGGCAAATAATAAATTATATTTAAGGAAAGCGGTAGGTGCATAGAAGGATGAAAAAACCAAAATGTTACTCAGAACTGGAATAAATGAAATTTGATGACTAGTAGTTTATAGACCCCATATACTTGGTTACGGTTCCTTAAGAGCACATGGTGTTTTTGTTCTCTTGGTACTTCCTGTTTTGTGGGTAGAATGTGGAGGTTGATTAGAGCATTGATTTTCGAACTGGGTCACAGGATGGTGATAGTGGGTCACTGTGATGGTCATGGCATTTAAAAAAAAAAATAAAAATTGTGCACTATGGCCAAAAATATCTGGACACCAAGTTCAGGTGTTTCAGCTACACTCATTGCTAAGAGGTGTATAAAATTAAACGCATAGCTATGCAGTGTCCATAGACAAACATTGCCGGTAGAGTGGGTTGCACTGAAGAGCTCTGGATTGATCATGGAATGCCACCTTTGCCACAAGTCAACTCTTATAATGAAAGCAACAGAGATCAGAGGACTGTACCAACCTACTAAGCTAGGATTATCATGGTATTCTGTTGCATTGTAATTGAAAGAAAAGTGATATTGAGTAAAAGTGGACTGAAAACAAGTGGCCCTTTCTGTAGTATTTTGCTAATAAAATGAGGTTGGCCTCAAGAGAAACCCTACTTCAGCATGTGGGTCCTGGCCTAGAGTTTGTCTGGCTTGGTGTACTTATCATTGAAGAAGGCTGTCGTACAAATAAGGCTTATATTGTGTATTCTTTCCAGGTGCCTCGTCATTGAAGAAGGACCAGCCCATGTTTACGCTGCGGCAGGTGGGCTACCTGTGTGAGCGCCTTCTCAAAGACCACGAAGAGAAAATCCGTGAGGAGTATGAGCAGATCCTGAACACAAAACTGGCAGGTAAAGAGGGTTTCTGTGGCCTAGACAATGTTGTATACAGCAGACAGTGATGCTGTTTGAAAATGCATCATAAAAATGCATCATGCATCTGAAGATAAGGATTAAACTATATGAGTGTTGAAATATTCAATAATGTATTTGTTTTTTTTATTGGTTGTCTTTTGCTTGAACAATGTCAGGCTGTTACTGTCTATTACAGTAATTTGCAATTGTGATAATTCAGATATTGTGGAATGACATGATGCACTGAATAAAAAGCCATACACTTACAGCTGAAACGTAAACACATAATCAAAATGATGGTTAGTTAGACAGACAGCTAACATTAGCTACTGTTACTGATGTAAGAAATGTCAAACAAACTTGAGTGCGATAAACTTGAATATTGTGGCGGTGCATCATGCTGTTTGGAGAGCAGCGATGCTGTGATAGTTTGTTCCTCAATCGCTTTAGCCAAACACACTAGTGTTATTCCTATTAATAAACAGCCACATGTTAAACTGTGTCTGCTCATTACTCACCCCACCACTATATTTTATCTGCTGAGTTTTCATCAACATTAATACAAAGGTAATAAGAGGGGACATTGGAGATAGTGTCTGGGATGTTTCTTTAATACTGTTTTATTATCTAGAGTTAGGAGAAGACTGTGAACTTAAGAGCTGCTGTTCTGTAATAGCTTCTGTCCTAAGTTCAGTCCTAACTGAAGCTGTCATGGTGACTAAACAGATAAGATTTCAGTACTAAGAAGTTTCTGTAATACGGCCCCAGATCTGCAGTACGTTTCGTGTCTGCTGTGATTTTGAGTTCCTAATTGTGTGTTTGTGAACCAGCTGACTTGCATTTAAATGCTCACTACTGTCTCTCTCTATTGCAGAGCAATACGAGTCGTTTGTGAAATTCACACAAGATCAGATCATGCGGCGATATGGGGCCAGGCCTGCCAGCTGTACGTATTTTACTTTTTTAAACTTCCCCATTTAACCCATATCTACAGCTTCTTCTCTGCCAGCTTCCTGTTTGTATTAATGTCAAATAATGATGAACATGGCAAAATATGTATCTACTACTCACTTATATCCCATCTTGTACATACTAAACAGAGTAAATGTGTAGAATCTGCAATTTTCAGTCTTTTCTTTTCCATGAGCTATGTCAGAAATAAATATAAAATGACAACATCCTGTTCTCACTGACCAAACCTGTAACTTACAAGGGCTCA